AAATCAATGTGGTCCCACGGCCCTCTGAGGCCCAAAGTTAAAAACTGTTGATCTTCTGAGGCCCTCAGGTGGCGCTGTGGGCCGCGGCCCCCATGGGTTAATAATCTCTGGATTAATCACCTGGACGTGTTTTAAATGAAAGTGTCTGATTTGATGCTGTGTTTGTAGGAGGACGTGACCAAGCAGTGGCTGGTGACAAAGCAGAGGAGCCAAAGAGTTGGTGAGTGAAGATTATTTAAAAGTCTCTGKTTTTCTGTCCTGACACACTTTCTACTTCATTTTTATTGTCAACATACAAAACTTTAAAACTGCTAAAAAGCTGTCTTTTAAATGAGTTAAATGCTGCTGGTTTTGACTGTTTGTACCTGTTTATCATTCTGATTTAATGATTCATTTAAACWATTGTTTTTCCAGTGCAGAATGATGAAACAACTTGAACTGTTTTAAACACGTCTCATTAGTGACGGTGATTGGCTCCAGCTGGTAGTTTCTGTTTGTTGGCATTAAACAGAATGAGCTGACAGCACCTGGTGGACTGACCAACAGACCAAACAAAGTCCAGGAAATCCAGGGTAGATCTGAGGAGGAACCCCAGGAATCACAGAGACTCCAGCTTTAAACTGTTGGAACATCCTGCTGTTCACAGTTTTACATCTGCAAGGACCGAGAGGACGGCAGTCAAATCAAACTGGACTGAATAATGATGATCAGTGTACCTAAAACTTGTTCAGTCTTACCACAAACCAACAGCTGCACAGCTGACACTTTGCACATGTGCATCAGAACGCATTAGTTCAACAACAACAACATAAAAATATAATAACAACAACAACAATCTGAAGCTCCTATGTTGAATAGTTTTTGAGTTATTAGCTTTTTTATACATCCAGACTCCCTCTTTTCAGATGGAGCCCCCTCCTCAAATATGGGGTCTATCATAAACCCGTTGGCTGGAGCAGTGTAGGTCAGACTCACCTACAGTCCTGACTCATTTCACACTGATTGGTGCAGCTGTTTCTGTGTGATGGTTGACCAAATATCTCTGGAAAAAAATAACAAAATAAACAGTACATAAACAATAAGACCCCCGCTCCGTGTGCAGGGGGTTATAACATGGTCCAACACAACAATGATCCCAAACACACATCAGAAGTGGTTTCTAACTGGACTAACTTTTCCAACGCCTCAACCTGTTTAAAAATCATGAACCATTAAAAGCTGTTATTTCCAGGAAACCAGTTGTAAATAAACTCCACCAGTAAAAGTGTTGAAACAACCAGAATAATTCAAACCAACCARTGAAAACTCTGAATTATGATGATCATGTCTGGATGGGAACTCCTGATTTAAACTGTATCTTTACACACTGAACACAGCAGCCTGACTTTATTAGAAATAAAGTTYCAGTGTGTTGTTACAACAAGCTGTAATAAAACCTAAATGTGTGTATTTGTTTTGTGTGTATGTGTGTAGAATGACAGGACTGGTTTTCTTCTTTCAGATGCTGATGGTTACATCCCTCACTGTGGTGAGTTCATGTGCTCAGTGTTAATGTTAGCTTTGTGAAAGTGTTGGATATGATTCACTCAGAGTTTAATAGATTTAAAAATGTTCTGTTTTTATTATCTTGTTTTTCCAAACTGCATGTGATTATTTTTATTGTTCTTTGTTTGTTCCTTTGTGTTTGTGATGAAGACAGGTTCTGTTCACAATAACAGCTCAGMTGTCAGTGTCATATTATTTTACTAAACACTTAAATGTTCATATTTGTTTTTGTTCTGAAGAAA